CTGGGGTTATCAATGTCCAGCATCGCCATTGTTGAGCTTCAAAACTTGTGAAAAAATAATTAACTGCTTTCAATTGAACAAAATTAATTTCTCCAAAATCAGAAAGTAAGAAGACGAATCTGAGATCTAATCGATCCACTCAAGCTCTGATACAATGTTAAATCTCACAATTGAAGCGTGAGAATGGAGCTTCTGAATGTATCGAAGAAGAAGAGAAAGGAGATTCTAGAAGGGACTCCAATTGTATTGCAAAAACTAATCAAATTATTTACAAGACTAAGTTATATATACTATATACTTGACTGATAATTAACTTAATCTCTTAGCCAACTAACATAACTAACTTGGCTAAGAGCGCACAACTGTCACTTAATATCCTTCTCACCCTCTAAGCTGTTAGACTCACAATTGTCACCAGTTGTTACTCTACTCATTTCAACAGTTATTGATTTTTGCTTCGCAGGAATCTTAATGTAGTTATCTGGGCTTTGCAGGAATTATTGTCACTGCCTGATCAATATTAAGAATCTCGATCGATTGATCGAATAATATCTCGCTTAATACATTTTGAGGCTTTAGTAGGTAATTATTTTTACCTAACATGCCAGATAACTTGAAATGACATGATCTTATTGGTCTAGGATTTGACCCGTCATTCCATATAATTGGAAGCACATGACATGGGCTTGGATATTATATAAGATGAAATAACATCCAAATGGACGTTCAACTAATATACTCGTTACGGGAAACTCAATTAGACGTTTTAATCCAATCAAAAGTGGACTTTTAAGTAATTTTATTTATTGGATTTAAATAGTTAGTTGATATTCAGATCAATTCTTGTATTTAGGAATTAACTCAAATATTATAGTCTCAATTCAATAATGTTTAAGTGTCTACCGAGTCATATATATAAGGTTCCATAATCCTACTATAAAAGAAAGAAGAAGGAAAACAAGCATGTTATGAAGTAAATGTCAAGCACTTCCATATTTGTACGTTCCAAAACAATGTGGACGATTCTCAAATCACTTACTGAGTACGACCTAAAAAAATATTTTCACCCATAAATTAATTGTGAAAATGTATATTAATCTAAGTTGGAATACTAATTAGTCGTTAAGATAAGGATTAATTAACTTTTATCTTGTCAAAACTACTGTCGCGTAATGAGACATCATTTATTCAATTCCCAGGCTGTAGTAGCCAGTAGGGAAGAGAATTGTGTGGGTTCTTTAAAAAATGAAAAGCTATAACCACTTATAGAGAAGTATTTGTGGTCCTAAAATGGGTTTTGTGGCTTGTACGACCTTCGTTTTGATAATCTCTTCGCTTTCACACATTCCTCTTTTGTGCATAATTGCCTTTGTTTAGTGATGTCTAATCCAATCATTTTTTGCAGAATGATATTTAGCATCATTATTGGCTTTAGAATTTAGATTAATAATAATAATAATAATAATAATAATAATAATAATAATAATAATAATAATAATAATAATAATAATAATAATAATAATAATAATAATAATAATGTAAATGTTCTAGCTGTCTGCTGCTAGCTTACGACAAAAATAAAGACAACTTTTTGAACTTCATTATTGCCCTCAATGTGATTAACAAGATAATATAAAGTTGGATTAATAAAGATTTTAGTACCAAATTTATGCTTCATTGGCATAACCGAGTCCAATTCGACAAATTGTGAACAATTTAACAAAATAAATGAAAATAAAAATTTGAATCAAAGTTATGCCCCACGCAACAAAATTTGTGAACAAGGCAAGAATTGCCATTTAGAGATCAAGGCTTATAAATAATTTAATAAGATAGGTAGAGTGAAGGTTGTACCCAAATAATAAGAAGAATTAACTTAAATAGTCACTCACTCGATAGTTTAAACTAAAAATAGCCGATGAAGGTATAATATATGCATAATTTGTGTATTATATATGTATAAATGTATATAACCAGTATGTGTGTATGTGTATGACTACAAAAAGTAAACTATGAATATAACCGGCTATTGTGTAAAAAACCCATATTATTTGAAGAAAATAATATCACACCCGACAAAACTTGTGAAAGCATTTTTCATTCTTCGGGGTATGTAATATCGATGTTTACACAAATTCCTTAAACGATGGTGAGAAATCATACCGTTTATGCAAATCTCCTAGCATCTCCAATGCAGAAAAATACATCTATGTACTTTTTTAGAATCACTGCTTATATTTTGTCCCCGTTAATTTTTTTTTTTTTTTGTTGGTAAAATAGCTCCACTAGCATAATTTTAATGCCGTTGAGAGAATTTAAAGTATACGGCATGATTTCCTTTACAAAAATTAATGTGATAAATTTTGGTGATCATCATTTGAAAATTTATGGCGATTACTATATTTTTGCAAATTGCAATGATCACCCATTCGAAACTTTCCGGCGGTTGTCACATTTTTGTAAATCCTTATAATTATCATATAAACAATTTTAGCAATTATTATATTTTTTGGCAAATCCTGAAGATTACCATGTGAATTTTTTTGGCTTTTGCTATATTTTTGTGACAAATCTTGAGAATTACTATTTCAAAAAATTCGGACGATTATCAAGAGCGCTTACCAAAATTTTGATGAATAATATTTTACTAAGACTTGTCTTAATGAGGTCATAAAATCAATAGTTGCACCAAAATATCCTATTCTGCTATCCGCCTTACCTAATGATATCTCGTTTTGTAAAAATTGCATGAGGCACCCTGTTTGGTCGCCCACATTTAACATATACCTATATTTTTAAAATTATTTAACTTATACCCTAATTTTTACAAGTTTAGGCGTCTCCTTCTTTGCGCTCCACTCTTCCTCCTTTCTTTTCCTTTTCTTCTTCTCGTGATCACCAAGTATAATAGATGTTAAAATTAAGATATTTTGTAAAGTAAATCTGAACCTTATATCTAGTTTATTCTTCTGCCACAAAGATTATGTCCTCTGTAGCGTGTTCATCAGCAAATCTGAATTGGTACAACGAAAGTTTAATAGTTCTTATACTTTAACTGCTAACAACTGCATCAAATGTGGCTGCAGACCTACTGAGAGTTGCTTAATCAGTTGGATGGATTTGATCAGCTTGGAGAGGTTGTTGATCTTAGTTCAGCAAATATAAATAAAAACTTCAGCTCCTAGAATTCTAGTTCACCAAATACAAAACAAACTTCAGTCCTGAAGTTCATCACAAATATAACAAAGTTAAGTTAAAACATGCTGAAGTTTAGCAATATAGAACAAAACGTTAGCTAAAACATGCTGAAGTTCAACAAATAGAGAACAAAACTCCAGCTAGTAGAATGCTTAAGTTCAGCAATTACAAACAAAAACTTCAGCCAACACTAAGTTTACGTAAAAAACTTCAGCTAAAACATGCTAAAGTTTAACAATTACAAACAAAAACTTCAGCAAATAGAGAACAAAACCTCAACTATTAGAATGCTTAACTTTAGCAATTACATACAAAAACTTCAGCACACTTGGTTCAGCAACTTTTTTTACTTCAGGCCCGTCTACTAGAATGCTGAAGTTACATAAAAAAGTGAGTACGCTTGTAATTTTTTTTGCAAAGCAAGTACAAGTTAAAACCCGACTCCTCATTTTCAGGAGGAATGGCCCACAAATATGCAGCCCCATAAAGCAAAAGAGGCCCAGAATATTATAGAGCAAAATTTACAGGGAGGTCCCTGAATACTTGTATTGACAAGCTATCAACTATTAATTTGTCACTATCAACTTAAAATCAAGTAATCAACCAACTTGAATAGGTCATCCGTCTTCAAATTGCAAATTGAAAGGTGTTATTGGCAAACCAAATAATAAATTGAACAAAATTAGAAAGCAAAGCTAGATAATACAATTATCCAAAAAAAAAAAGTTAGCTACAAACTTTCTCCCTCATTTTGATCCAATTGGGCTACTACTACACCATCCTCATACCAAGATAGGTTCCTAGCCAAATTTTCCTAAAGATTAAGTTGATCTTTTTTTGCAATCCAAATCACCTTAATCTAGTTGTTTAAAATTTCCCAAATCTACATTGTTGCTGATTCATGTCTCAAAAAGAGATAAATTTTCTCTACTATTGTAACAGCTTGTTTGGATGGTTGTTACGCATCGTTTCATAATATATCGTATCGTACTGTATTGTATTGTACTGTATCGTTTGATAAATACAATGTTTGGATAGATAATATCGTTTGTCATTGTTTCATGATATCACGCACCAGCAATATGAAGAATAAACTTGCAATATTATAAAGAAAAATTATGATGCAAGGTAAAATTACTATATAAAAAGTAGCGTAAATGATAAAATAAAATAATTTAATAATTATAAAGGGTGAGATTGAGAGAAAAAGACAAGGTAACGACGCGACCACACCAAATCGGTCGTTACATAAAGTGGCACATTTCATCGTTATGTAACGACGGATTTACCGATACGATACAATAAAATTTAAGTAACAATCAAAACAAACATTGTATTTAAAGTAACAATACGATACGATACAATGAGTAACAATCATCCAAACAAGCTGTAAGGGATCGTCTGATTATCAAGATAAGAAAAATACTTCTATACAATATTTAGTATTATTTTATGCTAAATTTAGTTGGTATTTTGTAATCGATATAACCAGTACAAATATAATTTTATGCTACAATTTCAATATTATCTAACGATCGTCCAGATCCAACTATAATACCTTATATGTGGATAAAACCGATGAGTATAAAGTACCTAATATATCAGTATAACTTTGATTTCATCTTTGAATTTTTATTTAGGTTAATAACAATTGTAAAATTATAAAATTTTGTATAATATATACGATATATATTATTCTTAATTGAATAAACTAAATATTTGCTCACTATTTCAAGGGGCTATATGGAACTTTACTTATTCATTAGGGACCTGTCTTTAAAAGTTATATAAGCCTCTTTTAGAGCTAGGGTTTTATCATCGTCTTTATTCTTCTACTCTCTGCTTCAATTCTTCATACTCCTCACAAACCCGCCGGAAAGTTGATAACTTATTCAACAATGGTAGGTTTTGAACTCGGCTCCGTTCCATTCAATGCCGACGGATGGGGTCCACCAGATTCCTCCATCTCTGTACCAAACCAAATCTCTAACGCCCCATTCGCTCCTTTCTCCCGCTCCGACAAGCTTGGTCGTATTGCCGACTGGACTCGGTCTCTTTCAAACCGACCCGGATCCAACTCCAAGCAAAACGCTACTGATTCCGCCTTCGACTTCTCCGGCGACGATTCATTCGCTACCCTCGCCGCTGACGAAGACTCCTCTNACTCCAAGCAAAACCCTACTGATTCCGCCTTCGACTTCTCCGGAGACGATTCATTCGCTACCCTCGCCGCCGACGAAGACTCCTCCTTCCGCCTCGTCGACACTGCCGCCAAATCCCATCACCACGGGCAACACCGCCCGAAATTCAATCCTAGGTGGCGGTTCAACCCTCACCACAACCGCTCTCAGCTTCCCCAGCGCCGCGACGAGGAAGTCGAGGCCCGAAAACGTGAGCAGGAGAAAGAAAGAGCTCGAAGGGACAGGCTGTACAATCTCAACCGTTCGGGAACAAACGCTGGCCAGAGAAGAGAATCTGCTGTGTTCAAATCATCAGTTGATATTCAACCTGAATGGAACATGCTCGATCAGATCCCGTTTTCGACTTTCTCGAAGCTTTCCTTCTCCGTTCCGGAGCCTGAGGATTTGCTGATCTGCGGTAGCCTTGAGTTTTACGACAGGTCCTACGATCGCATTACCCCGAAGAACGAACGTCGTCTGGAGAGGTTCAAGAACAGGAATTTCTTCAAAGTTACTACTACGGATGATCCTGTTATCCGGCGTTTGGCTAATGAGGATAAAGCTACTGTTTTCGCCACGGATACGATTTTGTCTACTTTAATGTGTGCTCCTAGGTCTGTTTACTCCTGGGATATTGTTGTTCAGCGTGTTGGGAATAAGTTGTTTTTCGACAAGCGTGATGGGTCCCAGCTGGATTTGCTCTCTGTTCATGAAACT